GAGAGAGAGAGAGAGAGAGAGAGAGAGAGAGAGAGAGAGAGAGAGAGAGAGAGAGAGAGAGAGAGAGAGAGAGAGAGAGAGAGAGAGGACGTGCTGTCATAGAACTAAAGGAGTGACTTAAAAAAATAAAACTAATAAAAATAAAAAAGAACTGAAGGAGCGACTTTATGCCATGCACCGCGACGGGAGATACGAAAGTCCTTTGATGTCTCGTTGGCAACATAAGAGTATACTTAGTAGACAAGAGAAGGTTAACATCCAACTTCAAAGGAGGAGCGAAAGAGCAAAGGCCGTGTCCATCAATCACAAGCTTCATGCGCACTTACGGATGCCTATAGAAGATCAGGACAGACTCCAACAGAGAAGACCAGGGGACTGACTCAAGGAGTGTTACTTACATGGGAAGAGAGAAGAAATCCGAGGTACAAAAAAAAAAGAAAAAAAAAGGTCGACGTCATGGCTGCTTACCCATTAGGGCGTTTCTCGTTTCTCGTTGACTGCTGCTGACCCTCTCTCCTCGACACGAATCAACCAGGCTCTGCTTATCTCTTGCTGCCAATAACTAGCTAGCCATGGGTTACAGAGCTGACAACTCCCACCTTCTCCCTTGACCCCTCCCTCCCTCACCCCTCCTCCTCCTCTCCCCAACTCTCTCTCTCTCTCTCACCCCTCCTCCTCCTCTCCCCAACTCTCTCTCTCTCTCTCTCTCTCTCTCTCTCTCTCTCTCTCCGTTTTACCAGGAATCCCCAGACCTGCAGCATCTTATAGCACTGTGCATCGAAACCATGACGCCATAGATATTATACTATGTCGATACTCAGCTATCCTATGCGCTATGTGCTTCGTAATGAAGTTCTGTAGTAGCGTAGTATAGCCAACTATGACATATAGACGGCGTACTATGTGTGTACTAAGTTATGCTATCTATAGCCAACTATGACACAGACGGCGTACTGTGTGTACTAAGTTATGCTATGCGTATGCCATGTGTGTACTAAGTAATGCTATGCGTATGCCATAGTGCAGCGCGATATGCTTTGCACGGAAGTTCTGTAGCAGCGTAGTATAGAGAACTATAACGCATACATGCATGGCGTACAATGTGTGTACTAAGTTATGCTATGCACATGCCATAGTGCAGCCTAGTATAGCAGATAGCGGTGTCATATTACTCGTATGTCTATACTAAGCTATGCTATACGCTATAAGCTATGCCATACGCTATAAGCTATGCTATACGCTATACGCTATACATATGCTAGATATCCTCCGTAGCGAAATATCATTGCAGCGTAGTATAGTATATATGCGCATGCCAGAGTGTAGCCTGATCTAAAAGACAGCAGAGCGTGAGTCTGATCCTGTCTGCGCTCGACTCTGTCATCAGCCGCTTGATCTGGGCCGTCCATCCATCCCTCCAGAAGCTGAGATCCATCGATTTACTTCTTCCAGCAAGCGCATATTGCAAATTGGCACACAACATAGAACGACCCAGTAGGGAGAAAAAAAAGAAGAAGAACAACAACAACCCCCTCGAAAGAAGAAGAAAAGAACTTCAAGAAGAAGGACCCCGCAGAGAAAAAAAGAGAAGAACAAAAAGAATAGTGACCGAGTAGAATCTAAAATGACCGAGTAGAAACTATGTGACGGTATTTCACTGTTTCAGAGGAGGAGGAGGAGGAGACTCTCCGACGACGTGGAGGCGTTGCGGGGTCGAGCCGCAAACCACAACTACGGTAGTGTTCGTCTGTTTTTTCGTTGGTGTCAACAGGAAGATAGCGCGCTAAGACCAGCAATAGCAAAGCCGCGTGCCCGCGCGGCTCTCTGTTCGTACACGCCGCTCCCGCGCGGGTTGTCCTTTCTCTCCACGGCCTCTTCCCGCCAGTCCTCTCGCCCTTCCCCTCCTTCCCCTGCTCCCTCCTCCTCCTCCTCCCCCTCCTCCTTCGCCGCTCCTCCCCTTGCTCTTCCTCCTTTCCCCCTCTTCCCCCCCCGCACCCCCTCTGGCCCCCCTCTGGATCGTCAAGAGCAAGATGCTCTCCCCCTCTTTACTAGTCCAGAAAGAGACCCCTCTCCCCTCCCTTCTCCAGCCAAATACGTGCTGAGGGCACACTCACCACTGCCGGCAACACTTCCCTGCCGGAATGCATTTGACCGCAATTGAACCCAGGACCTTGATGTGTCCAATCTCGTCCAAGTCAGTAGAAAAAGGTCCCCTCTGACCGCAATCACGTCCAGAAGCCAGTGGAAAAAGTTCCTACCGATGGTGTCAACATGCCCAGAGATCGATCCACCGCGCCCTTTTTCGTTTTTCGTTTGAATCTCCGTCATCCCGACTCGACCACGTTTTGGTCGCCGTCCTTTTTTTTTTCTTTTTTTTTTTTGGGTCGCCGTCTTTGCCTTGTTGTCTTCGAAGCTTTGTTGTCTTTGACGTACAGCAAATGGACTTCATGGATATGTATCGGACCGCTAACTCGTCCCAAAACATCAGTCCGAAATTTCGTTCACTCGTTTTTCTTCGCGCCTGCACTCTCAGTCCTAATTGGCAAAGTTCCCTCCCCTTCCCCCCCCC